ATTGTAATGACGACTTCAAGATTTAAACCATGATCACACTTACAATGCCCACACACACACACACACACACACACACACACACACACACACACACACACACACACACACACACACACACACACACACACACACACACACACACACACACACACACACACACACACACACACACACACACACACACACACACACACACATTTACACAGCAAATACAAGCAGTGCCAAACAAAGGTGGGTGCAAATGCATTAGGGCAGTCATGCAAACACAGGCTTGCGCACTACAAACAAATGTGGATTCCCCTACAGGCTGTTGGGCTAGCACTCTCCCTTGGACACACACACACACACACACACACACACACACACACACACACATACACACACACACACACACACACACACACACACACACACACACACACACACACACACACACACACACACACACAAAGAGGGAGAGTTTGTCCCGTCCCGTCCTCTCTGGTCTATTTCTGAGGCGACAAGAAAATGATCAAAGCTATGTGACCAGACTCCAGGAATGACCTTCTAACTATCTCAGGTGTCTCTTTTTACATACGCAAATACACACATGCATATACACGCACTTTCATTCCTCTCCTCCACGTGGACACTCATACATAGGTATTTCTCTGATAAATACAGTGGGGAAACATATTGAAACAAATTCATATATGTCTCTGGACTGCCTTCATTTGTCTCTGTATTTCGACCCTGTTGACGCCTGTACACCCTGTCCCTTCTCAAATCCTTCACCACGTCTGGGTAGCAGAGATACATTTAAGTGGAGGTTGCCTTGGGGACCTGTTGGTGTCAAGTGTCCCCAGCTTGCACAGCATGTCAGCCATTTCTCTTCACGTCGTTACTCAGTTTCAGTTGGGCCTCCTTCATTTACAGTTCTTCGGTCAGAGCATGCAATACTTTTCTTTTTTTTTAACTTTCCCATCTCTACACCTCATGATGCAGCATCAGCTATACAGAAGATATACCGTTGTATGCAGAGAGTAATTGGATAAATGTCACACAGCTGTTGCAACAACCATTGCCAGAAGTGATAGAATCCATGCATTCACACACACACACTCACTGAACAGCTTGATCATTTTTCAGGGCCATACCTTACATATTTGCCGGCTTCATGAAATTCCTAAAAGACTAACAGCTACATAACTTAAAAGGTTAAACTGCACACCTGCTAAAAGACAGATTGTTGAGGTAGATTTTTATCAGAAAAGATTTTTAAAACATAACAAGTCTTGAATTTGATATATTGATCTTTTTCATTTTCATTGTGTGGTCTCCAATAAACTGTGCTGTCTCTTTAATATATTAGGCCTTTCTTATTCACGTGCATACAGAGATAACAAAACAAGCTAAGACGCTACAATTTCTGCCTCTGCAGTTGTTTGCATATTATATAAAATGTCTCTTTTATCAAATAAGGTCACAATAAAGGAATTTCCACATTCGTCAGCTGTGAAAAGTAAAAAATGAGGTTATCACGTATGCGAAACAGTTGGTAGCAAGACATAAACAGTTGTAGCATGTAACACACATCAGATTGCGTGATGTCACATACAGTCTTTCGTTACACAACACTTGATGGTCTTTGATGTTCAGCCTCTGCAGAAACATGAGGCCGCCAATCTTTCTGCAGCCAACTGGGCATCGCACCCACCAATCCCTCACGCTGGTCTCTGTTTTTCTCATTGGCTCCCCCTCAAACAATAACCCCACGGGACAGTCAACTTCAGCATGATCACCTGTCGGAGTGTTTCAGGCAGCAGAACAATGTCTACTGTACAGTTTCATTGACATACAGTATAAAAGTCACAGCATGAAAACTGTGAGGGGGGGGGCTTGTGTGCAAAAGTATAGGTCACATCTTAAGCTGTTCTATAAATATTCGAAGGAGATGTGACTCTAGTCAATGTCTGCTCAGATTTCGCTCATCAACACACGCACACAACTTTTGGTATTGGCCCAGTGGAAAAGGTCTTGACTAAGAACTCCTTTGGTGTATCACCGTTACAGAGAGGTGTTAATAGTTGTATTGGGCTCCCAGCCAGCAAATATCTCTCTGTCTCCTCACTTTCAAGTCTCTTCTGATGGTTTTTGGCACCACCAAAAGTGGGACCACACATACACGACGGCTACGTTTTCATCATCTGACCAAAATAAATATTGCCATTGATGCACGGTCTCAAAGTCCACACTGGTTTCCAACAGTTTCATAAACCTGCCATAATAACCTTAAAGTACAGAAAGCACATTTTCTTCCAGAAATATTTGAATACCTCTCAAGAGTAATGTCACAAACTGCTTGATTTTACTAATTTAGTGTAACGACTACTTAATGCATCCGTCCCCTCTTCGCCGAGTCTTTTTTTAACCTTCTCAGTTCTACTTTCTGGTGTGTTGGTTTTCATTTCCATATCTCAGGCTTCAGGTCATGGGTCAGAAAGCAGAGAGGTGATAAATGCTTCCAGGTCACCTCTCCTGTCTCTGGAGGTCAGGGAGAGGGTTTCTGCAGTGACAGCAACAACATGATCACTCAGCTGAAGCACCAGAGCTAAACTTCCTGACCCCTCGCTCCCTCAACGTCTCTGCTCCATCTGCCTCATTCTCTTCTACTACCCCATCTACAAAAATGTATCTATCGACTTAAATGTACACATACACACATTTAAAGCACAAGACAAGAACTTACTAGAAGGTCTTGTAAACCAGGAACAAACAAGACAATAAATGTTGAAACATCCACTTTATTGTTTGAATTCCTACACCACACACAGAAACATCTGATTCCGAGATGTGTAATGGTGTTATTTTAAGAACGTTAACAGTCCAATCTCCCTCATGCTGATCAGCTCCACTCTCCTGCTGTGAATCGATGCCTTGTGCTCCGGCTCGCCGCACTAAAACTAATCTAGTTGACTTTCATAACTAGTGTAATCTGATTATAAATCCCTCGGTATGGACGCCACACAGAACACTGTGGCAGAGGTCACGCGTCGCTTGCTGAAAAATTCCACTGACTGAAAACTTTCTCCATTAAGCAGGAGATTTCGCACTGATGTGTTACTAGAAGACAGAACAGTGAACAGAGATTTTCATAATTATTATGTCTATTTTCTTTGCCTTATCTCCTATGTGTCAGTATGAGAGTTAATTATCATGCTTAATACCTTTTGGCAAATACATCTCAAATACATGTAGTTTCATCCTTTTGAAAATCTCAATAGATTGAAAGTAAGTTTACATTTGATCAAAAGCAATCATCAACAAACACAGATGAATAAAGAAAAAAGGGAATCCCTGTGACTCAACGTTAGTGGTGTAAGTTTTCAACTTTTTCTAGGACATGGAAATGGACCTTTTTGAATTATTTTAGTTTGAGGGTAATTTGTTTGAGTCTTTCTTTGATACAGTTTCCCCACTCCAAATAATATGCTTTTACAAATACACTCCAAAATATCCAGTTCTGATTATTGTTTATTCAGTGGCAAGTTTAGCGTTAAGATATCCAAATAGCAGCTCTATCTTATGTTGAACTTAAGCGCCTCATATCCTTTTTCCAGTACCTCAAATTGACTAATGTTTATGTTTAAACTAAGTCTGACATGTGGTGTGTTTCTCTCACAACCACCACAGAGGAAAGTCCTCCCTGGTTTGTTTGGGTTAGACAGCAGAGGAATGAGGGAGGGAGGACAGCGAGATGGGGAAGAGTGGGAGGTGAGGGGATGATGACAGGGGAATGGGGGGTGTGAGTGAGCTTGGACAATGCTCTCTGAATTTTAAAAAGGGGATAGAAAAAGGCGAGGGAGAAGGGGAGTGGAGGTTCTGAGGAGAGAAAGCGTGTGGAAGAAAAGGGGAGAGGAAGGTGGCAGAAGGGAGCTCGTTGGTGGGGGGTGATGTGGCAGAGTGGAGGATAATTAGAGGGAGGAGGGGAGTGAAAGGGAAATCACGGAAGATGTAATAGCAGGAAAGTGAGGAGAAGGGGAAGGAGTGAGTTTGTGCAATGAGGGAATTAAAGAAGGAAGGAGAGAAAGTCTAAAGATGGGGAGGATTGATGTGGGAAGGAGGAGGAGGGGGGGGGGGGGGCAGGGACCTTGGGGGTTACATTCCTGAAGTGCAACCAGCCTGGTGCTGCTCTGCTGCCCAATGTAAACACAGGGCAGAGAGGTGGACTGACAACCTGTCACTGTAACTCACAGTGAGACAGAGTGAAAGCAAGCGGGGAAGAGAAATGGAGGTGCGTTATGAAAAAAAGGAAAAAGAGAATGGAGGAAGAAAAAGTAGCAGGAAAACAGAGATGTATTTGGAGTATGACAGTTCTCTACAAAGTAAACAATATTCTTTTTTAGACAGAACATTGTCCTTTCTCCTGTCATTGACTCAATATACTCATATTAACATATCCTTTGATGCCGTCTCACATCTAGTCTACAATCCTCTCCTATTTCCTGCTTTTTTTTTTTCTTTTTTTTACTTCAATAAAGCAATAACCCTTGAGGACAGAGAGACATCACATTGACATCATTTATCCCTCTTAATAGTTCATTTGATTACATTGCTGTGATTAGACAATATGTGCTAAATGTACAAATATTGTTTCATTCCCAAAGCCGGCTTAAAACATGTTGCTTTTGCCAACTAAGTCACATATTGAATGTGGCTAATAGATGTGGTACTTAAACAATGATAACATTGATATTCAGATATTGTAGTTAACACAATACCAAACAGGCCAATCTGCCGTGACAGCAGGAGAATTGTCTTCTTTCCTGTGCTAGTGCGACATCTAGTGGCAAATGAAAAAGTCACTTCAAATGGAAAATGAATGAGTTTGGTTAAAGCTACAGTATATTTCTAGAGATTTGTGTAACCAAAAGCCCCAGCAAGGTCTTAAAAAGTTTAAATACAATGACATGCAGGACTTCAAATACAATGTGCTAGTCAAGAATACAACACAACAAAAATGTAATTGAAACATGTTTAATTTACTTTATTGGATTACCAAAGAATAAAAATGAACTCATGTAAAATTGAGTTAACATAGCCATCCAACAGGATTGTTTGTTACAAATTAAGGAAATGAAAGAAGCAGTTTGAGATGTTTTTTCTTAGGAATGAGGAAGAAAAGCCAGCTTTCCCGAACAGTAGGGTAAATAAATTAAATAATGATATTGAGAAATAAATCCTTAAAATTAACTAAATATGTTGCAACATAAATATTGAATAGGAGAACAGTCACCAGAAAACCAATTGCTTAAATTCTGACAGAGACCAACATTTTTAGCTAAAAAATAATTTGTATTGAATATTGCACTTTTACAAGGAAATCCTAAAATATTGGAATTTTTTGCAGAAAATGTACGATACCGCAGAGAACAATTTATGTGCAAACATTATTCTGACGTCTATTTCTTTACTTTTCTCAGCTTCTCACGCTGAAACTATTTACAGAGTAAACTGAAAAGAGAATAACCCTAGACGAAATAGGGGAACAACAGTACATTTAAAAAATAGATATTGACAAAAATAACGTTCTAATAGATACATTGAATAAATTAATTCAATTCAAGTGCAACAGCAGCAGCAGCAACAACAACAACAATGTTCTGTATTTCAAAAAGATGAAACACAATAATTTGTGTAACAGATCCAAATTATGTCAGTAGAGGTCAGTGTAACAGTAAAACACACATTTTACCATTTGTGATATGATTTCATTCTTCACAGTGTTGGGGAGTATGTCCCCAGAGACTTTTGCCAGTATATGACAACAATCTTACATAAAAACAATGGAAAAGTCATCTAAGTAAGATTTTCTCACTTCAATGATTCACTGTACTTCCCCCTATTACAGTAATCTGATAAGTAATACTTCCTCAAACACTTGTCTCTATTCAAATGTCAGCGACATGTTGACAGTAGACTGTCCAGTGAGTTGATACACGGGCAGCAGTCACATTATGTAATTTACACTTTAGTGAAATTTTTCTGGGAAATGGCGCTAAAAAGAAATCAGACATTCCTCTTCATCAAGCACTCACGTTTCCTCTTTTTTGTTTCCATTGAGGCGTATTCCCTCCCTGAAGAAAAGAAAGAAAAGGAAGGGATAAGTCAGTGTTTACAGAATTTCAATAAGTTTGTGCTTCATCTTACTTTTCAACAGGTTATATTTGACATTACCTGCTATGAATTAAATCAAAGTATTATAGGTATAAATTGTATCCACTTACTCCACATCTTCATTAATGTTTTCATTTTCTCCTGGAATCAACAGAGAAAGTTCTGTGAGTTTTTTCAAGTTACGGGGTCATTCTTATTCTTTCATTTTTGTATTTATTCAAACACATATGCAAATGTAGTGGAATAACTTGTGAAACACCTAATATCTGTCCTTACCTTTCTTACATTTCTTGCTTTTACACAACAGCAATGTAACAACCATAACAACCACAATACAGACAGCCACCACTGCGATGGTTATCACATGAGGCCAGGGAGGATAAGATGTAGATTTGGGTTTACCTAGAGGTTTACCTAGAGAGGAGAACACATGGAAATTAGTCTCAAAAACATATGGACTTCGACATATGTTCTCTGTTAATGGCATAACCACGCATACAGTTTTCTATTTATTTTTTTCTTGCAAGTCTGTCTTAAATAATCTGCTTTTGATCCAACTACAACTAACCTGAATTTACTTTTTTTGCCACAGGTACACATGCCAGGCACTATAGATCAAATGAAAATATACTGAAGCAGAAATTCAGCAGCATTGGGGCTGAACTGTGAAGTTCAGGTCAACATTTTACTCGGTTCAATACATGTCAGATAGCCTACCTGAAAAACAAATTATGTTTTAACCAGCCTCTGCTGTACAGTACTATGTGGTACTATTGCTAGTTAGCCAATGTTAGCATGTTTAACTAAGATGGGGAATTTAGTTAACATTTTACCTGCTAATGTAAGCATTTAAGCTGAAAGCCTGGCTGTGTCTAATTACATCCTAACAGACCTGTCGGCTTGGCTGTAGACTTGGTTTAACCTTAAAAATCTCTTAACTGTAACACAAACTCTTTGTCAACCATGTAAAAGGATTTTTTTAAATCCTCACATATTTCCATAACATTTGCCATATGCCAAGTATTGCCTTTTACACTTACACCAAAACTTGCAAAGGGTTTAAAATCACACCATAGGGACAGTTAATTTTCTTAAAAGTTTAGGACTCACAGACTGACAACAGTTCTGATCTGAGGTTGCCCACAGAGCAGCTGATAGACGTCTCTCCATTGGAGCAGTTGAGGCGTGCAGTGCTGGAAGTGTTGACCAACAGGGTGACATTATCTATCGTAATGTTGTTCATAGCCTTCAAAGTGTGAGTCTGTGATATGTTCCACTTCACTTCTGCTTCCGGGTAGCCGCCGTGCGCGACACATGTCAGTAGGCAACTCAAGAGAGGGCTTTGATCACAGGAGTCCATTGTAAGGGCAGGTTTACTGTAGATTCCTATGAGAGAGACAGAGAAAAAATAATAAGTTGTATTTCCTGCATGTCATGGTAACTGAAAATGGCTATGTTTAGTTAAATTGCTATTAACCTTTCAATAATCCAAAGTTTTAACAGAGCCTTTTTGAGTCCAAGATCACAAACTCACAGATCAATTATGACTTAGATAGTTCTGGATTAATGCAAATGTATTGTTTTTTGATACTGAAGTCTATTTTCAGGGGAGAACAGTTATGTCACGTGATAGATAACCTTTTGATCGTCTCCCTATTCTGCTTCCAACCTAAATAAATAAGCTTGGAGACACATAAAATAGTCTTGAAATTAAGCTTCCTTTTCTTGAAACTGCATCCTCGCTTTAATAAGTGTAACTGAACTAAAAAATGGGTTTAACAACTGCATGGTACAACAAAATATCCTAACAACCCACAACTCAAACAATTACATTTTAAAAAGGTTAACATACTCATACCTGTGACACTGAGGTGCATGCCAGTTGTAACTAATGGAATGTCACTGTACATGATATGGCACTGATAGTCCCCTTGATGTGAGACATTCAAACTGGACATGTGCATCGTTCCCTTCTTAGTATCCATTCTTGTGTTGCTCCATACCGGATCCGTTATTGTCTCTCTTTTATAGTATCCATTCACAAATTCACTGCTCCTTTGAATGTACATTAATTCTAGTGTGCTATTTTCAGCAACGGGGCAGTAAAAAGTCACACTTCCACCAACCACTCCTCTGTACTGAATCAGTGCAGCACTTCCTGCAGAAGAAAAGGAAGCAAGGACATAATGTTAGAGCATGCTGGGAAACCTTTTATTAGGTAAAATAAAAGTATCCTGTAGAAATTAACAATCTTTAATGGTGTGCACATTTTGATCACAGAATGTCTGAGTAGGAAGCATTTTTGTATATATGCACATACATATAATACAATATAAATAATGCACCATCATTTTAAGTTGTCTAAATGGTAGTGTTGAGTTGAACACTAATAATATAATTTAACATAAGAAATAACAGAAAAAAGGGATAATGTTCTATAGCCAGAACTTTGGTTTGTTATGTTGTCTAAAGATAGTAAAACCACCAACAAACAGTTTGACATCTGTACGAATTTACTTCATAAACATAAGATAAGAAACATACTTGTTTTTGTGTGTGTAAAGGTCGGGAGTTTCTGTTTAGACTTTTAGCTCCTCTCATGACGTAAAGGACTAATCACAGTTCCTCTTAATGTTTTTGTTAAAACACACAACTACAATTGTCCCTTTCATGTTTTACATGATCTAAAGGTCAACATATTGAACATGGCGTTATAGTGAGCTGAAGGTTTAACTTTTTATTGACACTTTCTGTGTAGGTGTTTTTGGTAATACCAATAATGTTTAGGTTCTGTTTTGACGGTCCAGTTCTGTGTTGCTAGCTTGACTTTGACTTTTTCTTTGTCTGACATTTGGTGCTGTTTTTGGTATTTATAGTTGTTTTATTCCAGCTCTACTGAAGAAACCAGATAGGAATATAAGTTTAATAAGGGTGGCTGGACTTTGATAGTATTTGCATGGGCTTTAAAGTAATAGTTTGGGAAATAGGCCAACTTTTTTCAAGAGTGTTTTCCCAAATTGGTAAAATAATCATTTAAAGCCAAACGATTGAGATAAAAAAGAATTAGAGATATGTAGAGCTTCAGAGTTGGATGATAATTATCTGCCAGCAAACCTTTCTCATTATAACACAGTTATTTGAATTATTTGGAGCTCCAACACTGCTGGTTTCTAATCTAATATAATACATTTGGTACCTGTTTTCGATCAAGCAAAGTGTTGTGATATCAAAAGTCCTGACGGTATGCATGTAATCTATTTATATATACAACTAGTTCCACTGTAGAACCAAGATAAGAGTGTGTTGTTAATGCACTGATATGAGGTGAACTGCTTACCTGTGACAGAAATAGCACCAGTCATGATATACAACTGGGCCAGCCGCAAGAAGGAACTCCTTTGGTTTATAGGAAGACAGGAGGAAGCATAATTAAAATGGTTTATAATTGTTTTCATGGTTACCAAGGTAACACTGGGAATACCAGTGACACAGAGATGAGTACAAACTGTGTTACAGAAAAACGTCATAGTCAAATACCCCTGGCCCCGTGCCCAGAGATACGGTCATAAGAGGCAAATATGAGCCACCATTGCTAATATTGACTCAACCAGCCCCTCTGTCATCAACTGTCATTCTTTTTAAATAGTACTAAACCAAAGACCGTTATGGTAGCAACTAAACCATTGTCCTATGATTCACAGCAAAGTACATTTATTGTAGCATGATACAACCTGTATATTGTTGAAAGGATATAATAACCGGTTTCTGGAGATCAATTGTGGCTGGCTTGAAGAAAGGCTGCTGTCAGCATTTTGTAGGTGTTTGAAATAGAATAATAAGAATGAGGTAATAAAAAAAGGCAAAGGGCACTTACGGGAAACACTGTAGGTTGGAAGGGGATGCCTGTTGAAAATAACAATCAAGTTAAGTGATAGTATTGATTCTTTTTTAATTTAATTTGGTATCTTTTAAATCAGTGCACAGGAGCAATACTCATTCAGGAATTCATAATCATATTTGGCCAGTGAGTCACATGCTTAGAATATTTTATAAATCAAAATCTTAGACATCTTGTAAACTGTTAAACACACGGATGTCATATTTGCTGCCTTGGGGAGTCTGCAATATAAAACCTGCCCTACCACCTATCAAACCAGTGTCTTATGTGAGTTCACATTGTGTGTGGAATTCTACGGAAACAAAACAGTATCTGAAATATCCGACTGGCCTTTTACAGTAAGTGAAGTCAGGGTAATGGTTTCTGTCATCCTGAAAAAACAAACCTTGTTTTGAACACCAAGATTCAGGAAAGTCCCATTGAGCAGTAGGCAGTAGCCCCAGTATCTGCCAAAAAAAACCTGCCTTCACACTTGAGACAGTGACTTCTCATAGTCTTATATTTTGTATGAAGTATTATAAAAGTATATTATAAAAAACAACTATCAGTTAATAGTGTATTTAGTTTTAACTTGAATATTTTTGTGTTTTGACTCATCAAAACACGAGGCAAAATGCATCACACGCCCTAGAAACGGTCTTTCTTAACTCATGGATACTCACAGTCTGCAAATAACACGTGTTACATTCACTCTTTCGAGGAACATTCTTCATATTCAACACTTTGCATTTAAAACACACATTTAGGGAATATAAAGTTAAAAATAAGAAAGCATTTGCAGAAGTGTCTTCTCGACAGAAACCACATCTGAGGGAATCCCCAGGGGCCACGTGAATACCTAAAGAACGGTTCATTGTTTTTGGTTCAGGAAAAGTGTTACCAAATGGATAATAACATTCAGAAAGCGATGGCAAAATATTGCATAGCATTGATTGAGCGTTATAATTGACTGTGTGCGGTCTACTATCACTTATCTATCATCACCTAACAGACAGTTTAACGTTTTTATTGAGTTTTTAGACAGAGAGTTTCGATATGGGGAGTCCCCTATGACGTAACGTGATTTAAAATGTATGATACATAAATGATTGCATGACTTACACTAATCAGATAAGCTACGAAACCACATACCAGATTCACACATTGGATTCATGTTATCTCACATTTAGTTTCATTCATTTTAATGTAGGAGAGGTTTGACACTTCTTGTGGTTCAAGAATGTTCAGGGTGACACCTATTTAATGTGAGTGAGATACTCTAAACAGACTAAAGAAAAATGATCTCTGTCTTTGTCACAAATATAGTTATACACACAAATGTCCAGGATATATTCAATCAGCAGTGCATATTTGCAAATAGCATTCCTACAGTGATATAGATCAAGCTTGCAGAGGCGGTATGTTCGGAGTTAGTTTACTTAAGGATAAAACTAGTCACACACACACAAACACACACAGTATTCGCGGGCTGCTGCTCAGTGTCCTTTCAAGTATTTCTTTGATACAGAAAACTATGTACATGCATGAGAAACCTCCTATCTGACATTATAGTAACAGACAATGAACAAACTTATCCATAACAATAACATTAAATGTTATCATGAAAGACAAAGGAAAATAAAACAAACTAAGCTCTTACCATTGTCCGCTGTCTTAGTCAGAATGAGAGTGAGAAGAAAATAAACTTCCTCTTCATTCAAAACAACAAAAGGGGCAGGGCAAAACAGTCATGTGACAATTTAGCAATGACACACAATCTGATGTCAATCTGAGCAGGTTTTATTTGTACAGGCATGTTTTAAACAAAGCTTGTTATATCTTTGATCTCACTTATTATAAGATGAGAAAACAGGTGTTACAATAGTAATAATAACCATGGCTTTGTTCTATGTCAGTGTCCCAGTAAGTCACTTTGAGATTTAAATTGAACATGTGACTTACTGTTGGGAAGCCTAAAGAGGGCTTCCACAGAATCATGTTTGTCAGGACATTTGGCTTTGGCACATTGTGTGTGTGATCACTATACGTGTCTGTTATGTCACAGTGGAAAAATGTTCATGAACTTCCCTGTCTGCTAACTAGCTCATTCTCACTCTCATCAGACCTTGTGGTATGAATCACAGTCAAATGTTACAGTAATATGCAGTGTTGCATTCATATTCTGCTGCTATGATTGTTTTTATTTATTTTCTGAACCAAGGCATCACAGAACTAAGTCACAAGGAATGCAGAGGGAGGGGGAGTAGGATACTACAGATCATTGTAAGATAATTCATTCAATCAGTCAACTATTATTTCATAATCTTAATGAGACATGGGAGAAGTGGAAACTCTCCTATCCAAGAAAAATCTTTACAATTTAGTTTTGTTTTTCCTTAAATAAATAATATACAAATGTTTTATTGTGCAAGAAAAGAGGCAAGTGATACTAAACAGGCCAACTGTTTCCCTTTTGGGTAAAAAAGTGGCCACTTGGGACACAAGAATACATTTGAATATTGCTATAGAGCAGTGACATGCATTATTGCGATAACATTTGAGATGCATTATGTTCAACTGTGAGTCTCTAATTCTCCATCTTCCACATTGCAGTCATTGATCAAAAGAGGGTGCTTAAATGCCGGTGATGTCACACAATAACTCAGACACCGCAAATGAGATTTTCAAAAAGCACTTTTGGATACAGGTGGTGTACATTTTTTTCAAAAAGGTCCAATATGCTCCCACAGCTGCATTGCTTCTGACACTGTTGCAGATGACTTGTGTACCACACACATTGTGGTGTGTGGTACACAGAAAAAAACGTTTGTGTTTCACACTTTTTTTCTGTGTAAATTTAGAACATCTTTTCACTTCTGTTTTTCAATCACTTTGTTATAGCACTTTGTCTGATATTCAAACATTTACTGTTATTATCAATTCTTATTATCCACTTAATTCCTGCTAATTGCCTCTCAAAAAGGTTAATAATTGACAAGGTACCAAGCTAACTTAAAGGGGACCTATGACCCGGTGTATCAGGGAACTCACCAAGTGTCAGAAAACACAACCCTCTCTCTTTTCCTCCATACCCAAATCTCTAAAAACGGGGCTGCAACGGATCTGATAAAAACTGATCCAGATTTGAAATTGTTCTGACGTCAGAAACGGGCTGCTCCGCCTATATGGACAACTCTCCACCTATCAGGGGAATGAGAGGTTGCCGTGGCATGGTAACAGCATGGTAACATGACGCTCGTGCCTCGCCCCCCTCCTTTGCAGGGGGGCGTGGTCAGCTGCAGCTCATTTGCCACAGAAAACAGGGCTGGAATAGAGCAAATAGAGCGAAATGAGGCATGGCTAAAATGCATGGTTTGGTATTTTGAAAAAAAAACTTCACAGACATGTTTTATATAGGTATGGCCCTACAATATATTATTCATATATAGCATGATAGGTCCACTTTAATGAAGTGTTAACTTCACTTTGACATTTGAAGAATAAAAATACATGGTTTTGTCACCCAGTTTTGACTCAGTGTCTCTGCTCTTTATCTTTTCTCTATTCTTTTAAAAGCCTCTAACTAACTAAGACATTAAACAGGGAATGCCTGAGGATTTTCGTGTGTATCTCTGAAAAGTTTGATATGTACCCAGAACGTAGAGCCACACAATGACTCATCCCTATTATATTCATAGCCCATCCCAACGCATGTCGGTAAACCACTTTATATCTGGTTTCCTTTTGAATCATCTGACTTTAAATTACTAATTAGGTAGTTGCCTAAATTTACACAAGTAAAATAGCTAAATAGTAATTTTAATAGAATAGAATGACTGTAAAACATAATTTGTTATTGTCAAAGGCAACATTTTCATTCCATCAGGTTAAGAATTGCATTCCATATAAAAAATACACTGACACTATAGAGGTGGCATGCATGTTTGTGAAGGTGAATTGCTGTTTCTGGTATAATGTGATAAATTAGAGCTTTATGTATTGGATAAGAGGGTATAACAGAAATTGTACATCCAGGTAAAATGTAAGACTGCAAAGAAATATATAAATCAACAGTTTGCATATTTATTACAAAACTGATGAGAAGACATTATAGATAGTCAAGCGTTATGTGGAAGTGAAGTTCCACCCCCATACTGCCCACAGAACAATACATTTCCTGTATACCAAGAAAGTGAGCCTTTCTTACAGTCATTTGTTGTTATGTGGGCTGTACTTGGGAGGAAGGGCTGATAACACTTTGGTTTACAGAAATCACTTCTCACTATTCTAGGGGATTTTGAAACTCAAAGACTACCTCATAATCTAATAGCTATCTGTAACAACACCCTATGTACAAATGCATTGCATGGTGCTACAAAGAGTGCAGTTGGTACTGCTATCTGCTTGTTTCTGAAAAGCAATCTTTATTTGTTTGTGCTCCCGAAATAAATTGTAGTGAATGTTTGTCAGTCAGAGAATATTATTTACATGTGGTAAATTAAATTGGATTGAACAATGAGAGGTTTAGAGGCTGTTTTGAGAAATGCACTAGATTGAGTATGGTTATCAGTGTTATTGGTCAGTCTACTGGTCAAAAAGATAGGAAAAGGTGTGTGTGTGTGTGTGTGTGTGTGTGTGGGTGTGTGTGTGTGTGTGTGTGTGTGTGTGTGTGTGTGTGTGTGTGTGTGTGTGTGTGTGTGTGTGTGTGTGTCTGTGGATGCTGTGTGACAAAAGAGTTTCCCTTCCATCTATATACGGTCATTGAAAGAACTGAAACTCTGTTAAATATCAAGGGAATCCCTGTCCTTCTGTTTCATCTTTTGTGTGTGTTGGTGTTAAGGTAGGTCATTCTTCATTATCAGGCATTGAAGTCCTGTATAAAGATTGGCCCTATGTCAAATTCTATCATCAATGCTATTGGTCAGTCTACTGATCAAAAAGATGGGAAAAGGTGTGTGTGTGTGTGTGTGTGTGTGTGTGTGTGTGTGTGTGTGTGTGTGTGTGTGTGTGTGTGTGTGTGTGTGTGTGTGTGTGTGTGTGTGTGTGCGCATGTGTGTGTGTGTGTGTGTGTGTGTGTGTGTGTGTGTGTGTGTGTGTGTGTGACAAAAGAGTTTCCCTTCCATCTATATACGGTAATTGAAAGACATGAAACTCTGTTAAATACCAAGGGAATCCCTGTCCTTCTGTTTCGTCTTTTGTGTGTGTTGGTGTTAAGGTATGTCATTCTTCATTATCAGGCATTGAAGTCCTGTATAAAGATTGGCCCTATGTCAAATTCTAGTATAAAAAAAAATCTTACAAGGGGCTCATCCTGAATAACATTGTGTTAAAAAAATGTATCCGGACATACCATAAATACTATAAACACAAAGATAAGGGATAGTAGGTTAACCTGACCAAGGTTTGGAAGGAGACATTAAAATATATGATGATAAATGTTTTGTGATGACATCCTTTTACGACTTTTTCAAGTATGACACATGTCATTCTAAGAAAAAGGTGTTAGTAATACAAGCAATGACTCACTGTACACTGTTGTTGGGAAAATACTAACAACGGTCTTGCCTCATTGAGACACTTAATATTGAGTCATTGTACTGTAAGTGATTTGTCTTTAGCAAGTAAAGTAAAAATGCTTACACAAAGGCCCATTGTAGTTTTATAACCAGTAGTAAAACAGAATAAAAAAAGATGTGTCTCTCTTTTTGGAGTAAATCTAAATAGGAATTATTAGGTAATGCTGAATGCATTAATAATGATAATAATTAATGCTGTAATACATGTTAATAAATATTTCAACAGTGGTGGAATTAACCAAACCACATTTAGTCAGGAATTTACTTAATGTGGGGTACATGCAGGCTACTTTCCATGATACTTTCCTTATGGATTTTAAACGTTCTAACTAATAGAGAGCAGAAGGTGTCTGTCAACGGACGCCTCTCCTACTCTGTCATCACTTCCACAGGCTCGCCTCAAGGATTTGTTCTTTCGCCCCTACTTTTTATAATGTACACTGATAAATGCAGGAGGATGCAAGACAACAGCTACCTGGTTAAATTCTCTGATGATACCACCCTCTTGTCCCTCCTTAGCAGCTCAGAATTAGGCCACGAGTGTGCTCTTACTGATTTTATTTCCTGGTGTGATGACAGTTTTCTGGATTTAAATGTCTCTAAAACCCAGGAATTGATAATTGATTTTAGATGTCACAAGGATGTTCCTAAGGAGTGCATCATACACAATGACAAGGTAGAAATTGTCACATCATACAAATACTTGGGCACCATTTTCGATGACCACCTCAAATTTGATGTGAATACTGAGTGTATTGTGAAACGGGGTCAACAGAGAATGCACCTTCTTCGCAAACTGAACTCTTTCTCTGTCAGGCCTTTCATTCTTTGTCGTTTTTTACCAAGCATTCATTGAGAGCCTAATGTTTTTTTTTTCTTTTATCTGCTGGTTCCATAGCCTTACACTGAAAGACAGGAACAGCCTGAACAACATTGTTAAAACCTGCTCTAAAGTCATCGGAGTTAAACAGAGAGACTTAAACTCCTTCTGTAACAAACAGATTCTGCGGAAAGCAGAGAGCATTCTGGCCTCTCCAGGTCATGTTCTTGCACATGAATTTCGTCTCTTGCCATCAGGGCATAGATATGCTCTACTTGCTGTTGGGTTCAGAATTCCAGAAAAGACAGACAACT